TTATCCGGGTATAGAATACTTTTTACTGCGGGAAAATATCTCATCTCTGAGAAATCTATACTAAACGTTAAAACGTAAGTACATACTTACGTAAGTTTAAATAAAATTATCTTTACGGATTTTTTCGCTTTATTTCGATTTTTGGTTCCCGACGTTTCGAGTGCTTTACAGCAATCATGGTCACGGAAGAGACTTTAGACGGGAGAGATTTTGGACATCTCAAATGTCATTATATATATAATTATTACAGACAACACCTATCCACAAAACCGTACAATGATTTTCAAAGATACAAAAAAAACTTTTTTATATAGAAACATGATGTGTACTATTCTTCTCCATTCTACACAAATCTTAAACGTACTGGATACTTCTCAACGCTACATTTTGTGATTATCATTAGTTTTGAGTGTTATTCTCGAATTTTTAGATCGGGGAGCAAATAAGTTCTTTTTTCACCAATATAGGTATATCTATAAGTATATATATAATTATATGTAATTTATTATTGTAACTTTTGTTGGTAATTCGAAATAAATAAATAAATAAATATCCATAAAATAAGCGTGGTTGCGCACTGTCATTTGTAATGACGTCATAATTTATCTACAAATAATTAACTACATTGCGAGTTTTAAAATCTATCCACAAAAACCCATTGTAATAAATAAATAAAATAAAGTAAAACCTTAGTTTAGTTGAAAATAATCAAGACGTACGATGATTGTATCTCTTCATAGAAATGTTCTACTAATAAATATATGAAGAAGATATATAAGATTTTAATTTATTTATTTTTTTATTTATTTATTTATTTATTTCATGAACGAATTGTGGTTAATTCGTTCATGATTTATTTATTATTTTTCATTTACTGCTACTACTAAAATAATAAAATCTTTCGTCAAATTTTATGACAGAAAAGAATGTAAGGGATAAATATAAGAAGGCTGGTTAGGGTACCAATATAATGAAAAAATTAAAATGTTATACCTATATTGTCTAAAAATAAAAAATAGATAGAATATTCCTATCTATACATATAATAAAATTGTAACTAAGACGAATCTGTACATTAAATATTTTTTGGAAAATCTTATTAAAACAAACATTATTATCGACAGAGGCCGAATCTATAGACTTTAGAATTTTTGTATGTCTGTCTGTCTGTTACCGCATCATAGAAAATTTGGTATGGTGATAGCTGGTTATCCCGGTCAACATATAGGATACTTTTTTCCGCGGGAAAATATCTCATTTTTGAGAAAAATATTTGAATTGCAATGTAAGAGTATACTAATATGTAAAACCTAAGAATTTGTTTTTTGGTCATCTGAACGCTGCGCGCAATGCTAGTTATGAATAAATATATACTTAGAAATACAACGTCAGACGCGAGGCACGTTAATGGCCTAGAATATGAAGTCAACGTTCAAACGGTTTCCATCATCGGTACAGAAATAGCGTTCACCTGCAATCATTACCTCAAATGTGTATTATATGAGGAAATATCGTATGTCTAACTCATAATAAGCTGAGAGATGACGCTGCAATAAAAGTAGGGCGTTATTCATAGATCTTATTAAAATCATTCTCTATATGGTGAGAAATTTATTTACGGATTACTTTGTTTTATTAGATAAAAATAAAATATCTAGTGTAATAAGTAATTATTTGAGACATTCTTCATATTTGTAGGGTATGTTTGCAAGATTCCAAAATCAGACAAAAAAATCAATTTTTTAAAAAAGATATTAAAATTCCAACCAAAAATATAATTTCTCCTTTTTTAAGTTGTTAAAAAGGTATTAACTTATACTAAACCATTTATTAGATAATTATGTGTCAGAATCGCATTTAATTAAGAGGCGACACAACCTAGCGGGATAATTCTAGCAAGTCAGCTCTACGACTTTATGATGTGGTAAGCGATTCAACGTTAGCAATAACACCAGTGTTAAAAAACACACCACGCTTCGGATTCGTCCCTAGACCAAAATCTATCCCACTGGAACTGTACATTTTTCCGGGATAAAAAGTGCTACACATATATGCTATTCCAAGCTATAATTAAGTAATCTATCTCTGTGCCAAATTTCATCCAGATCCGTTTAGCCATTCTGGCGTGAAAGTAACAAACATCCATCCTTACAAACTTTCACATTTATAATATTAGTATGAATAATACATAATTAACAATTTCTTCATACAAGTATTTGCCTATTGCTGGAAATTCGACTATAATCATTATTGAAAAACCTAAGAGAAAAAGGTTCTGAGCTATTTTATTGCCTATCTATATACGTATATAAAACAAAGTCGGGTTTGTTACAATACTTATAACTTGAGAACTGCTGGACCGATTTTTAATGATCTTTGTTGGATTTGTCTTCACCCCTAATAGCATAATAACTCTGGCAAAATTCACGAAAAAAAAATCTATTCCACGCTAAGCGTCAAAACGTACCTAGGGATCAACCTGAGCGAATCGAGGATGAGTCGCTAGTATATATATATATATATATATATATATATATATATATATATATATATATAATATATATATATACGATATATGTATATATATACATAAGTACTTTTCAAAATGCATTATTAAAAATTAAATTTCAAATTGTATGCATTCCTTTAACATATGTAATTTCCGTAATTAGAAACTTTACGGCATATCGGATACTGTGATTTTATAAAGATTTCCGAGTTTAGGATGTGACGAAACGTGATGTGCAGCGGACCGAGACTAGAGGGTACACGGTCTGATGCCTCGCTACTGGATTCAAATGATTAAAAACCGGCATTTTTCACTTGTTTTATGTAACCTGTACCTTATTTATGTGATAACACTTGTTGTAATATTCGGTTTGAGTAATATTTTAAAACTAGAAGTCATATATTATAATAAAGTATTTATTTTCTTACATGTGTATAATAATTAATAAGTTAACAGACTTTAATGCTCATTAAGCAAGTGGATATTTCATAAGTTTATGAGAATCACTCTTAAATTAAAATTAAAAAAAAAACTAACACAATGACCTATTTATTGAGGCCATTTCAATAATCCTAAACGCGATATCTCTGCAGTATTTTAGTAAAGAGCTATCTATCTTGTAGATTCCAGATGACGCTGCAGCATCAGGCCAAGGTTATTATATATATTTTTTTGATTAGATCTGTTGAAGTTTTTCATATCCTTTTATCGTCTAAAAAAGAGCTGATATCCTACAAGCTCTCGATTACCTTTTAAACAAAAAAAAATTAAATCAATTCATCCATCTGGGCGCTACGATGCTACAGCAGATACAGATTACACAATCCTACTAATATTATAAACGCGAAAGTTTGTAAAAATGTATGTATGGATGTATATTTGTTACTCTTTCACGCAAAAACTACTGCATGGATTTTGATGAAACTTTAAAATAATATAGCTCATACATCAGAATAACATATAGATTACTTTTTATCCCGGAAAAATGTACGGTTCCCGTGGGATAGATTTCTTTTTGTTTTTCTAGAGGTGAATCTGAGTGAAGCGAGGGTAAACCGCTAGATAGTACACAATATGTTAAACTTATAACTCCCCTCTTTTTGCTTCGGATGAAGAATTACTTACGTCTATATTGAGACTAATCTAATATATATATATATATAATTCTCGTATCACAGTGTTTTTAACAAAACTGCTCTGAAACGGCATGACCGATTCTTATGAAATTTTATGTGTATATAAAATACTTTCTTTTTACTTTCTTACACTATGTTTACACTAAAAAAGGAAAAATAAAAACATTTTAACAAAAAAATAACCAACTTTAAAAAGAGTACTAAAAGGTAAAAAAAATAAAATTATTTTAATTTTTTTTCCGAGTAAAAATTACCTCATGATAAGAACATAACATTTTTTACATTTTACTACCATTTAACTACCATTTTTTCTAAAGTATGCAAATAAACAATGCTTATCAGAAGAACCGTTTATGTGTTTATTTGTAACATCCATACTAATATTATAAATGTGAAAGTGTGTTTGTTTGTTTGTCCTTCTTTCAAGTCGAAACGGTGTGACGGATTGGCGTAATTTTTGTGTGTAGATAGTTGGAACGCTGGAGTGTGACATACGCTACTTTTTACCGCGGAAGATTATTTAATTCCCACGGGAAAATACGTTATAATACAATCCAAAAATATATTTATGATCGGAATTACTTGAAACTTGATATTAATACTCTTCAATAAAATTAAATAAATACCTGTTTTAGCATTTTTCGAAATTCGTCCTATAAAAGGGTAAAACAAGGGATGAAAGTTTGTATGAAACTACCTTTTTAGAGATTTTTTGTAGTTTTAGCGCGAGCGAAGCCGCGGGTTTTGCTAGTATAAGTATAATTATGAATAATATATCAAGAAGAAAACAAATAAAGGTCGATGAACTTCAATGCAGACTAAAAAGACTAATTTAATTGCACAAGTACCTATGGCTCGACCGTAGAATATACATGCTTATATACTCGTATACCTAATCGAGATGAGTCTTGGTGTTACTCCCCTGTTATTACAATAAGGAAGTGACAATTGAATTACTATCTGCCTAGGGTTGTCCAGTTGAACGTATAAATATATAATTAACAATGGAAATATGTATATTGTAATTACATTCAAACTCTTTGTTTTACAAAATATGTATGTGTGTCCGTATTGTTTTATTAAAATTGTATATAAAAGATTTAGCAGGAAGTCCAGACAAAGCGTCGACCCTAGTTTATTATCGTTGTTAATAAATAAAGTGTGTCATGTCAGCTAGGTCGTGTAATCTGCAGGGTGACGTCGAGGAACTCGGGCGCGACACTCACTAAGAAGGCTAATCAGACGGTTCACGGAGGATAAAACAAAAAAAAAGTTATTAAATCGCATTTAAAAAAAAATTGGAGCATTGACGTGAAAGATAAAAATAGATATAAAGTGTAAATAGTATAACGTGAATGTGGAACTTTTTGGTGCGAAATAAACAAGTGGCTGCCATGCTAGGGGTGTTAGCGGCGGCCGCTTTAGCTGTAATAATCTTGACCACCAAAAGTAGCGGTCATTCTATCGTGGAACGATATTCTATGGATGAAACGGAGGATGTTAGCAAAGAGGATTATATTTTCTCTACTCATACGTAAGTTTGACCATGCTTTTTATATTACACAGAATGTATTTCTCGCATGTCGTAATTCAAAACAATGAATTACTGTGTTCAATTTATAGGCTGTCAGGTTTATGATTTTTGCCTTTTTAAATACGATCTATATAAAAAAAATTAAAATGCGTTAGTATGTTTGTAAATGAATAATTAAAATTATTGTTTGATAAATTTTCAATTAACAATATCTTACACTTTGAATCTTAAAGATTATATCTCTCATCGTTAAATGTAATTGAACCTCATTTAATTTATAAATCTTTAGGATGTCATCGCGCCTAACCTTTGTTAATTGGACTTCACTGACAGTTACAATAAGATTAACTTACGATTTATAAGAAAATTAAAGTATATTCAATATATAAAATTATCTTTACGGATTTTTGCGCCGATTTATTTAGGTTTTTGGTTCCCGAAGTTTCGAATGCTTTACAGCAATCATGGTCACGAGTCATGGTCAGAGACTAAGGTTTTAAACTTCTTAAAGGTTGTCACAGACAGTAAAAGTAGAAAGTAGAAGAAAATATAGAAAATGACAATTACTACCAATATTACTATTGCCAATATATTTCAATTATTACTCGTATAAAAAGAAATGGCAGTTTCTCTTGAACTATAATAAAAGAAGAAACTTATTCTTTTAGACTTCTTAGACCACTTATAATAATAGATTGGCGTAATTATGCCACCACCAATAACACTTAAATAATTATATTCTCATATAACTAAACATAATCTACATGAACTAAGAAAATGATCGTAATAAAACTAATAGTTTGGAAAAGTGAAATTTTACGGGTACAATTATTTATTATTACAACTTACAATACTATATACCGCTTTCTACTATAAAAATTATTCCGTTACTTGAGTCTAATGGCAATTCTCCAATTAAAACAATTACCTTAATTTAGATTAATACAAGATATATATAGATACAATGTGTTGCCATGACTGTTTAATTATGAGTGTTATTTTCTTAATTATAGCTACTGTTATAAAAATTATAACTTTCATTCTAAACTCTCTAAGAAATAAGATATAAGTAGGTACTTTAAAAATCGGTTAATTACGAGTCTGATTCGCGCTGCGAGTGTTCCGCAGTGTTAAATAAATAATTAAAATTTTATCTTATGTAGTTTGTTAGGTTAAACGTAAAGTAAAATATATCCCCATCTACGGTATTTTTTATATTTATATCAAAATTATTAAAGTTTATACCAAATACTGTCTAAACAAAGTTAGTTTTATTATCACATAACTAAAAAAGTGTGATATCGAAAAATTTTCCCTATCCCCATATCTTAAGAACTAGGTAGTTACCTACTTAAAGTCTTTAAAACAAATTTCTTTATAAGTGTTTTAAATTTGGCATCTTAATTATTCAAAATTTTCCTACACGCATTAAAATTTAGTTGAGTTTGTGTTGAGGGTGGAATACAATGTTTACAGCTTTAGAAGCATATAACTCAGAACTACTATTAAAAGATCGCATATATACACATCTACCGAAAAATTTGGAGTCTATAAACTTACATGGACTCAAGATTTTTTCAGACCTCAGTACCGACTTCAGCATTGTCTAGTAGTTCACATAAGACTCCTACCATTCTAATTTCCACACCATCCACGTTATACGGCTGTGTATACGGATAGACGGACGGACAGACAGACGTGCCTTTTTGTATAGCCACGGAACCCTAAAAAATATCTTAATTATAGCGCAAAAGAAAAAGATGAGAGTTCAATCTACATTATGTTATTTAAAAGACTACTGAAGTAATGAACATAAGTCTTATGATAAGACTTAAGAGTATACAATGTAGCAATCTATACAGATAGGTAGGTGTATAAATAAAATTGAAGTGTCTGTTTGTAATGTCGAAATACCAGCATTTGATTAATAAACTAGCATTGCCCGCGGCTCCGCCCACGTTCAGATGACCGATGACCTAATTCTTAGGTTTTACATATTAGTATATTCTTACAATGCAGTTTTTGTATTTTTTCTCAGTAATGAGATATTTTCCCAAAGTAAAAAGTATCCTATATGTTGACCCGGATAACCAGCTATCACCATACCAAATTTCATCAAAATCTGTTCGTTCCGAAATGCCGTTTGGCTAATCTCCGAAACGGCTGGACTGATTTCTGACGGGGTTTTCACTGGCAGATAGCTGATATTATAAGGAGCAACTTAGGCTACTTTTCTTTTAGAAAAAGAATTAGCTATCCGTTCAAAAAAAAAATAAAACGGACCTAGGGACGCACCCGAACGAAGCGAGAATAAGTCACTCGTACAATTAATTACATTTATAGGTTGATTATATTATGTAAACTGATCAATTTATTTTGGCTAAAAGGTTAACAAATCGGGTTTTCGAGCACTTATTTTTTTATTGAAATATAAAAATATAACCTTAATAATAAAATAAAATGTGTTCATAGAGAAATTCCAAAAAAAATTGAGTCATTACTATCTATAAATATTATAATAAATATGTATTTATGTGTAAAATTTCTATCTAAAAATTAAAAGACAAGTTAAAAATTTTCACAATAAGACATAATTATACATACCTTTACCCTAATTTCCATCTTTAATTTTAAAGCTTTTGTTATTCTTGTTTTAAAGTGTACTAAAGAAAAAACAACTTAATTCACAGATTGCCATCCGACGATCGTCTCATGCCCTCTATCGGAAATGGACACATCGCTACAAACGTATTTAGCGACACAGTATACTTAAACGGTCTATATAATGGGGAGAAGGGATTGAGTCGTCGAGCCAGAATACCTGCGTGGGCTAATATAAGGTTAAATTCAACACTCAAACATCGTCATTTTACACCAGTATATACCTTGGATACGAAACATGGAGTTTTCCAAGTAACAGTCAATAGGGAAAGGTCCGTTGTAATTCAAAGGATCTACGCTCATAGATTTTATACAAGAACTATTGTAAACCAAATTAAAGTTGTACCGAGGCCACATGCAGGTTAGTGAAAATTATTATGTAAGGTTTGTAAAGGACATTTTTCAATAATATTTTTTTGCTATTTTAATTTTTAAGGCGTTCGTGTCTTGTCGATTGCTTTTAAAAGTGATCAGGCGCTAACATATCTTTTAAAATATGTTAGCTTCAGAATTATTATTGATCGAACATATAAAATTTAGAAAAATAAATATTTCAGATCCAAATTTCATACACCATGAAATTTGGGTAGCAATTAAACAAATGGCTGGTCCAAACAGCAAAGATATAGCCTTCCAAGCTCCAACTCCTGAGATAATAAATGATGCGGTAGTATGGAAGACTTGTGGTCGAACACGGGAGATTGAAGACCCCTTATACCAACCTTCGCCTGTAGATGTTTGTGCGTACTGGACATCTGTTCCCGATCACCTCGTAGTGCCGCACATAAGTAGAGTTTTTACATTTGCTATGACAGTTGATAAGAATGAAACTGTCGCGAGACAAGAGTTTATTAAAAGTGAGTACTTTGTTTAATTGTGTTCATTAAAATTAATATGATTATAAATAACTACCATTGCCCGTGGCTCCGCCCGCGTTTAGATGACCAAAAACCAAATTCTTTACATATTAGTACACTCTTATATTGCAGTTTTTGTATTTTTTTCAAAAATTAGATATTTTCCCGCAGTAAGAAGTATGCTATATGTTGACCCAGATACCCAGCTATAACCATACCAAATTTCATCAAAATCCCTCCAGTGGTTTTTCTGTGATGCGGTAACAGACAGACAGACAGACAGTCAGATAAAAATTCTAGAAACTATAGATTCGGCCTCTGTATCGATAATAATGTTTATTTCAATAAAATTTTCCAAAAAATATCTAATGTACAGATTCGGCTTAGTTACAATTTTATTATATGTACTATAGATAGCAGGTTAAAAGCAACCCCTACTATGGTATGCAATTGATTTAAAGAAAGCAAGTTGTCAAACTGCTCTGCAATAACTTATTGCATTATTTACTTACTTATTTTTAATAGTTATAGTTATCGGTCATCTCTATTTCAAAGATTCAAATCTGCTATTTTATACTATTGACATATCATTCATAAATTATTATTTGTAATAAAAAAAAGTTGTTATTCACAAGAAATTGATAGTTATTCAGGAAAATAATACAAATACATTATCTTACTCGTATATTTAACTTACGGACAGTATTGCAGGAGGATGGCGACGAGTTGTTCGAGAAACACGTAGATCAATGGCTCAAGCTCTACCAGCAAGCTAAAATTAATATAGAGGGAAATTTACAACTGGTAATTATTATAAACATTACGGAAATCGATTCATAATTAATGAAAAAATCGCTTAACATAACACACATTTATATATTAATAAAACACTCTTCTCTGTGAATAAGTTCCTTCATTTCAAAATCAATAACTCAAAATATATTTTTTTATATACATTTTCGTAAGCACATTTTAATCGTATGTACATATTGACACTTAATTAAATATCATTGTGTATATCTGTGAGGAAGTTACCACCGACTAGAAAGGCAGTTCTGCTCAGAAGAGTCGGCCTAAAACTCAATAGTTGCTACTTGCTTATTTAAAATTATATTTTACGTCTTTTTTATAACTAACATACATATTTCTTTTATATACCACTGTCTTGGAAAAATACATATTATTTTATTTATTTTTTTAAATATTTTTAGTATCTTACAAATTTAAATATAAGGCTTTGATCTCAAAGCCTCTTCCTGATTTTCTATTAATATTTAATTAAAATTACGAGGTTAATAGCTTGCTCCAGTGCGTCCCTAGGTCTCTGCGATAAAAGGTATTGCAACTTCTTAATAGTGAAAGAATTTTCAGAATCAGATTTGTAATTTCAAAGATTACATTAGATTGGTGTGGATTGATAAAGCAGCCCATTGTGGACTCGTATTATAAGATACTAACCTATATACCTATACTAAGCCCCAAAAAGTGCTATATACTTTTGATGTACTAATAGTTAGTTTTATTATAATAGACTGTGCTCATATAATAAATTAAGCAAAACGTATTTTATCCTAAATATGGAATAAGGGTGCTAGGTGTTAATTTGATAATTTATCTGTAAGTATTACAAGATTTTAAATAAAACTATCTTTTCAGATTTTTTCGCGGATTTATTTTGTATATAATATTTGTTTAATTTAAAATATTGTAAGGTACTTTATTGCCATTCTTGAATTTTTGAAATCATTTTTGTAAAATAGTGGGTAGGCACTGTCTGTAACAAGTGTATATCGCCTTTAAGACGTCTATAACCTTAGTCTCTCCCGTGACCATAATTGCTGTAAAGCATTCGAAACGTCGGGAACCAAAAATCAAAATAAATCCGCGAAATAATCCGAAAAGATAGTTTTATTTAAAATGTCAAATATTCGCGTAAATCTAAGAAAGTATTATTATAAGATGTAAATAAACATATTTTATTCATTCATATTGCAGGCTAAAATAGTAAATGGAATATGGTATTACTTCTTGAGTTCACTGCCGGCAGAAGAGTCTAATTTGCCGTCAGATAGATTTTACGGTCTCAGTCCCACAGGTCTGGCCCGAGGTGGCACTTTTGATGATTATGAAGGTATTTATAAATATATTTTTTATTTTTATTTTCAGACTGTAAATTTATAGACCTATAAATTCATTGAAAATATATATAATATCTTGTATAATAATAGATAAGCGACACATTAAATTATGTAACAATTATACAAAAATCCTTTAACATTTAAGGAACGTATCGCGTAACATGCACGCACAAAAAATACATCCAACCTAATTTATGTTAGGGGTTAAGTACTTTAACTCTTATTAATATTTACATAACAATATTCCAGGCCACAATTTCTGGGATACAGAAATGTGGATGTTTCCATCTATCCTCCTCCTCTATCCGCATTATGCGAACAAACTCCTGCAGTACCGCCTCGACAATGCTTACGTCGCCTCTGAACTCGCTAAGATGACTGGAAACAAAGGATACAGGTAATCATTGACATATTATATCCGTTAGATTTTGAAAACTTATTTAAATGTAATAGACGTATTAGATCGAATAAAAATAAATAAAATTATTTATGCCTTAAAGCAGCGTAAACCTAGCTTACAAGTTTTCAAAATAGGAACTGAATTTTTTTTTTCACTGATAGCCAACCGTGTTAAATTATTCATTTCGTTATTTCTAACGAATATGACAAGCTCCAATATAAAATTACCCTATTCATTTCTTGGGGGGATGAATTTTCAAAAAGTCTTTGTCAGTACATATTAACTGGTTTATGCTGTGTGTTGTCTGTGATTATGAATGGCTAAGATATTTAATTAGTGAGGCATTTATTTATTCCAGTTGAATATTATAAATTCCAGTTAAATATTACCTATGCAATATATGAATATGTATAGGCATTACGCCTGCAAACCTCTCACAGTTTTAAGATATTGCTAATATTTTTTACTTAGGCGCTATGTGTACCAATAATATTGGAATCATATTTCTTAATTTCCAAATATCTTCCATTTACAAACAGCGATCACTAAAACTTTTATTATATGTATAGATTTAAAAATACTGAAAAGGTAAGAATTATAGTATGGTCAGGTTTTTATATAAGAAGGCTCTATTAAATAAATTCAACAGTCAGGGGCAACTCTAAGAGAGGGTTACATAGTAATGTACTTACTCGAATATGGATCATTTAACTATACGTCCTATTATAGACTTAAAATTATTCAAAGACTTTAAATATTTAAAACAATGGATGACTAAAATATAAAATGTAATCCCAATACCTCCTAGTTTGAACATTAGATCAGCTTGATGGAATAAAATTATTAGGTAGGTTTAGTACAAGTACTAGTAGATATGGTATTATGTGATCTGTGTACCATATATAACATATACAAGTGAAGGTAATTAAGGTTAAGGCATATTTTAATATTAATAATGAACTTAAAAAAACAGATATCCATGGGAAAGTGCGTTTACGGGGTCGGAGGTGACGCAGCCTTGCTGTCCCGAGGTGGCAGAATTCGAGCAGCACATTACTGGCTGCATCGCGTTCGCGGCGAGACAGTATTTGGCTGTGACCAGGGACGAGAATTGGTTAAAGGTATGAATACTATCGTTTCGCTCAGTTTAGACTAAGCCGGTTTAGACTAAGACACTATAAACGGTACATTCAGTGTATACACCGAGTGTCTGTGTGTGAACGCGAGTGTCTCAAATTGTCTAAACCGGCCTTAATAGTAGGCATAAGAGCAGATTTTATTCTGTCAGTCAACAAAATTTTATTCAAATCTCTCTAGATATTTATCTAAATGTAAAGATGTAACAAACTTACTATGGTTTCGCCACAATGTTTTCATTCGCCATAAAGAAAAATGAAAATGGTACCTGGAAAATGATTCATTCATGAAAATATTAGACGTGCGACATCCGGGGCTTGAATCCCGGTTTATTTAGTTTTGTTTCGCTATATATTGTAAGCAGTTAAATAATATTCCAGCATGGTGGATGCTCCATAGTTACAAACATAGCTGACTTCTGGGCGTCTCGCGCTGTCATCAACTACACTACTGGTTTCTATGATATTGCTAGTAAGTAGTTCATATACTTTAAGCAGTTTTTTTTCCTTGTTATAACTACCTTTACAATTCAAGTAAAGGTAAAGGGACGTTTTTTTCGTCGTCTATTTATCAAAACATTTACATAAACTAAAAAAATAATGTTAAATCTATCTTAGTTATTTTTTTAAATTAATTCGTGTTTTTTCTCAGGATCTACATTCCATCTTATAGTTATATTTTATATTATTCCGCCTTATTTCTCAGGATTTCTGTCTTATTATTTCTCTATATCAAATTTTATTAATATCGGTTCAGCAGTAAGTAAATATTTGTGAAACTAGAAAGTTATATTTATATAGTTAAAATTATATAACTTAGGAAATATAAATTATTATAAAAACCACATCTAACTATATATTATATTATATAGTATATGATTTTTACTTTAATAAATGATATTTTAAGATGTGATGGGCCCAGACGAAGACCACAGCAACATCACTAACTCAGTCTTCACAAACGTAGTTGCCGGGTATTCTTTATATTTGGCTCAGTGAGTATACGTTTTGTTATACTTTCCAAGTGCCATACACGCCTGTACAGGTTTGCCTACACAATTCAATTTCACGAGTCATGACCTGTGAAATAAGCGTGTCTGGTCGTTAGTTTTCTTTAACTGTACGCTCATGCTTACCTTTTATAGTTTATACTCTATCCTATACATTTAAACCCTAGTGTATGTGGCAGTGGCGAAGGGTCCATACAAGACGATTCCTACCGTCTCACCTTTTACAAATCCAATAAATCCATCATTAATTTAAAAATAATTATTTTTTGATAATTCAATATGAATAATACACATAATTAGTAGGTAATTAAAAAATCAATTTATTATTACTACATCAATTTCTTAAAATAATATAACGCCTACAAAAAATCACAAGCATTAAAAAAAATCATAATTACGCCTAAATATATATTTGCGCTCCAAATTGCTTAGGCTTTTCTTCATAGAAATACGCCGTTATGACGTATTTCAGCTTACCGCGTTCATACTATATTGTGTTTCATTCATACATACTCTTGGATTGAACATTGTCACGTGACTTCATTCATATTTAGCATTCTACGCATGCGCACTAGTAAAATTTTTGTTGCTCGAAAATTTAACGTCATATTCTAGTTGTCAGTTGTCACTTGTCAGAAATTGCAAAACGTCAAAATGTATATGGCGGATTGTTATTGTTTACGAGTGCATTGCTTAAGTTTTTTTTTGTTTCATAGTTTTCACTTAATTTTAGCGTATTATAGATATTTTATGCTATGTTTATTTGTAATGTGGGATGTAGAATGTGTGTTTCACATATTTGTTAATTTCGATGAGTTCTATTAGCCATTATGGCATTAATTTGCATACTGTTTGAAATATTTAATTATTACAGGAAATGATTTATCTAAATATTTTGATACAACTTTTTATTAAAATTTAAAAATAATATGTGTGAACGTGCTGTATTAGAAAAATATTTATTCCATGGTTATTATTCTCTGATTTCATCTAAGTTTGAAGTAAATTTTAATATGTTAAAGTTGTTTTAAATACGTTATCAATAATAAAATTTGACGAATATTAAGCTAAATAGGTTATTCAGCCACTTTAAAAAAACGGACGTATTGCTAAAATAAAGTAGTAAATTGCCTGCGCTTCATAATGTTCGTGTTCTTGTGTAGAGTATTTACTTATTTCATAATTTTCGTTCAATTTGGCTTGATAAATAAAATAATAAACCAATCTCATCGGTAAGGAAGACGAAGTAGTTCCAACAGATGTATGTAGATGGCGGTATTTATATTTAAATATATTGTTTTACTAAAATGTACAAAAAAAAAATGTTTAAACCTTAAAAAAGTAGGCTCAGGTTTTAAAATATACTAATAATAAACAAAAATAAAATAATCTGGTCTTAAATCAAATTTACGTACTTTCACTTATTAAGTGGTGCGTAATGATTTTTCATAGATGGCGTTATTAATATTTTATGAGGTTTTATTATTTTACTAGCGTTGCCCGCGGCTCCGCCCGCGTTCAGATGACCAAAAACCAAATTCTTAGGTTTTACATATTAGTATACTCTTACATTGCAGTTTTTTTATTTTTTCTCAGAAATGAGACATTTTCCCGCGATAAAAAGTATCCTATATGTTGACCCGGATAACCAGTTATCACCATACCAAATTTCATCAAAATCCCTCATGTGGTTTTTCTGCGATGCGGTAACAGACAGATAGACAATATTATTATATGTATAGATTAAGTGTATGTAACGTATTTTGTTAGAATATTTTGCCTACATTTAAATAAAAACATAATAGCCTTATTGAAAAAAATCTTTACACTTTACTGTGCTAAAATTTCCTGGTCGACCGAGCTTTGCTCGGTATTAATTTTTTTTGGTAAATTGTGTTTTTTAGAAATTATATTTAAATGCAAATTACATACTGATCAAATGATGAAATATGAATAATATTTTTCGATCTTACCGACATAATAATAAAAAAATATCAACTGATTATTGAAATAAAAAATCACGAGTGCAATTAGTTTAATATTATATTAGAAACAAATGCTAAATTTTTTACAGTTTAAAATACTTCCTTCCATACTATATTGCGAGTATGTCGCGGATTTTCATTTGGTAGATGGACTTTTAACGTAGTTGGTCGCTTAACTCTAGAAAATGCCACATATAACATGCCATGCATGAAGACCGGACTTGACTTTAAGTCAACCCCAACAGATTCGAAAGTTTGCCCTTGTGATTTGTGAACAGTCATGGCAAATGCAGATCTAACGGGAAATTGGTGACGCTGCATGGTGCATCCCAGTTGTCCTTTTGATGAGTCAAGCGTTATCCTTGGTATATGTACTTCTTTGCCGGATTGTTCACCAGTTACAATTTTAGCCTTTATTATGTGATTGCACAGACTTGTTACCATGAGTCTTACACCATTGCATAGTCCTTCTGATACGTCTAAATTACGCAACAACATTATTAACGCATTTTTTTTCAATTTTAGTTCATGTGGTGGCAAGTCTGAAATGTTGACACTATTGAGAAATTCTGTTGTAAATTCAACTGCTCCTTCAGGTTGATCTTTCATTGAGTCATGGCTATAGTAGATTTTGTACTCTCCGGGAAGTTTGGCAACTATATCATCATTAATTTTTTCAACATCTTTGTTAAGAGGCGCGAGTATTGCTCTGTCTTTCATCCCCTCATAATTTTGATTGGCTAAGCAGTTACCAAATACTTCATCAATAAGATTGTTGCTTGAAATGATATTCTGTGGCAATTCAATTTCTTCCATAGTATTTAGGGTCAGTTCGCCGTTTCCTAATTTTAGTAAATAATCAGCAAATTGTCGTTGCTCTATATCAACGCGCATATTTTCTTCTAGTTTAAAAGTCTTAAAAACGGACCATAAGGAGCATCGCTTAATAGAAAGATCTAATAACTCAGATTTATTCGCACGTGGCTGTACAGGCAGACATTGGCGAAAATCTCCTCCTAGTACTATTACTTTTCCACCGAAAGGGAGATCCGAATTTCCAATGGATCGTAAAAGTCGATCAATGTTTTGCAAACCATATTTTGGAAGCATCGGAGCTTCATCCATAAGAAAAATATCTATTTCTGCTAATTGTCTCGCTTTAGGAGAGTTAGGATTAATACTTGAGACTGAATCTGGTGTCAGTGGTACTTTTAGTCCAAAAGTTTTATGAAAAGTACGTCCATTAGGCAATAATATGGAAGCAATACCGGTAAAAGCCATACATTTTACTATGTATCGTTTTCCAGTAAGCATATAGTATAATGTTTTATATATAAATGTCTTCCCAGTACCCCCCGGACCATCAATGAAGAAGCATTTCGTTTCAGAAGCTGTATTATTTACAGCTTGAAGAATAGAATTAACCACTTCTATCTGTTTTCCTTTTAGTAACTGGTACATTTGTTCTCCTAATACTGCTGATTCATCCGTGTTTAAATTCTCTTGATTATCATTAATATCGTAATTATTAATGTCCTCAAAGGCAAAAGTTTGTACCCAGTATTGGAAATTTCGTCCTTCTGTTGCTTCAGTGTTTAATTTTCTAGCAATAATTCTGTAACCACGATTAATTGCATTTTCTATAGGCTGTCCATTTTGCCGGGCTGCATGTATAAAATCTTCTGACAAATTTTCTTTAAATATTTCCCACAAATGCTTTGGATTTTCAGAACAAAAAGGCTTCTCATTGCTACAGGCATTTTAAATAATGCATATTCTCGTAATCTTTCTATCCATTGTTGATCGTCGTAAGTCAAGCCTCGTGCTAAGCAGGCTTGTTTATACTTCTTGATATTGGATGTCTATTACGGTTCGAAGGTCTTCAATACTTGTTGCATCTTTTATATAAAATAGTAACAATCGGAGTGGTAAAATTCCGGCTGGGCAACAAAATTCACATTGTGAATCCTACCAATGACTCGCAAACGGCGAACTCTTGACTCCCATTTGCTAGACCTTCCGATCCATGTAAAATTTTCAGGAATCTGCCAATAAAAATGATATTGACGTGAGACATTATCGCTTGACTGATTGTCTTTTAATTTCTGCATTGTGCTTAAAATAAGCCTCCAGAGTAGACCCTCTTTGGCCAATGTCGGCTAAATCTTCATGGGTTTGGTTCAAATTTGCGATCCGATACTGTCCTGGTAAGTGAATATCCAGTCCTTGGACACTATGACTTTTTTTTGAATTTCAAAAGCAAATAATCGCCAGCATGCTTCTGATGGCGTGACACAACGTCCTTCAATGTATGTATTTGCTTCACTATGTATAAATGAGTGTCCTTTGTTCTTCTACAACTTCGATCGATGCACAGTCGTGTTCTTTATAAATGTATTTATAAAGATATTTCACAGCCAAAATACTCCCTACGTACTCAACGTTTATATGACAATTATTATTTTTTCAATAAATATGCGTTGTAGGGGGCTACATGACGATTATCTTGTGTTATACGACGACCGTTTATGTCTTTACGATAAACCGCATGTTCGTGTGAAAATTGGGGACTATGTGGGTCCAACTGTGGATTGTAGCGTCGTCGGTAATTTGGTTTACCATTATCTACTAAAGTAACTTCCTGGTACGATTTTGGAAAGTCGAATCGACATTTTGTTCTTCCGTTTTTATGAACCATACACGTTGCATTGGGATTTAAATCGCCACATGGGTTGTGAATCATCAATTGGAGTACTAATTCTCTTAACTCTAAGTCATCATTTCGGGGTATTTCAGATGAAATCAAGTCATCGAGCTCTTCTGGTTGATGAATCTTGTCATCAGATGTCATAATTATAAGCAGATGCATGTGTGGTAAGCCTCGTTTCTGAAATTCTATAGTATATACAAAAGCCGATACCTTTCCAAACACTTGTTTTTTATATAAATCTTCTATTATTTGGTCAAATTTTAACTTAGCAGCTCGAGCTACGATGTCAGGACGATCCTGTGGAAGCTGTTGCAAGATTGTTCCATCTTCTAATTTTATTTGCAATGACTGTGTTATTTTTAGCTAGTTAGGATTTGATGTCATGGTGATAAAGAAATCAGATGATTCAAGCCTTCGAACAATAGCCATTGCATATTCAAAATTTTCCGTGTCTCGTCAAACCAGGAAAAGAGGAGGGTAAAATAATCTTTTCACCAACTGTAGCATTTTTTTTTCGGCAAGTTGATTAATGAAACTGGTTACTCCCGTATATTTTTGAGCTAGAATCTTATTTTGGTTGTATTTTATCCATTAAATACGGTCACGAATGTAAGTATCCACTAAATATTGCTGAAATAATCGGCCCCCAAAATGCAGTGCATTAAATGGAAGTTCCCGTACATCGGGTACTTCTGTTGATGAAGATTCTGTTAAAAATTTAACAAACTCTGGTCGAAACAAAAGTCTGTATTGTGCCAATTCAAGCCGAGTTAAATGACTGCGGCTGGAATAAGGCGTTTGTAACTGTAAATCTGGGCTAAAACCATCCGTGCCGGCTGGGTAAAATAATGGGTAAGTAAACGGCTCAACTCGCTTATCAACATTATTTAAAGAGACAATGTTTTTATTGCGCTGGTGCACAATTATTTCATTTTCTGGAAAGCTTTGATCAGCACTTATTGTAAAAACTGCACAAACAAACTTAACACTCGATTTAACTAACTTGGCCATTGCTAGGGCCCGTGAAAATTGCACTATAGAATAATTTCTAAATGTATTAATTTGTAGCAAAATTTCAACCCCGTAAGCACCGGGCCCCAGTTTCTATGGGGATTGGTTTTCTCCTTTATATATTTTAGTTGATTATCGATAAAGTGCTTCGCTCGGGGTTTTCGGTCAGAAGTACAATTATCTTTAAAAAAAATGAATAAATACAAAAAAAACACACACAAAATTAAATTATCCCTTTGTATACGCCCGGGATTCGAACGCGGACACTTATTCAATCTTGCGCCTTGGCTGCTTGACCATGATGCTTATAATCCAAGCGTGCGAAATTATCGAACATAATATTTTGCGTGGAATAATGCAAAAGAAAACAGCATGAAAATTCGAAAACACGCGTTTTCCCAGACATAAGACTAATCTAGATCGAATTTCATGAAAATCGTTGGACCCGTTTCCGAGATTCAGATTATTATATTATATATGTATATCAATAATTTATAAGAATTGCTCGTTTAAATATCTCAGTCTCAGTAAGAGTGGTTCTTAGGAAAAAAGTTAAAGGACAATTTTGTGGAAAATTGCCATGATCTACAATTTTTGTCTAATTTATTTTTATATTAACACTTACCGTTTACTAGAAAAAAACAGAAACTTTTTGCCCTTTTTATAATAGTCTACCTAAGACCTGTACCAATTTTAAGCTCTGCAAATTATGGGAAGTTGAAATATCTATCTTTACCCGACTACATTAATATACAATAATAGTTATAGCAGGCGTTTCAATTGCCTTAAATTAACTTTATGTCATATCCATATTAATATTATAAATATGAAAGTGTATTTGTTTGTGTATTTGTTTGTTTGTCCTTTCTTTCGCGTCGAAACGTAAACGTTTAGTTGAAACTTGGTATTAATGCTCTTCAATAAAATTAAATGAATAGGTGTTATAGCATTTTTCGAAATTCATCCTTTAAGAGGGTTAAATAGGGGTTGAAAGTTTGTATGAAACTACCTTTTTAGAGATTTTTTTGTAGTTTTAGCGTGAGCGAAGCCACGGGTTCCGCTAGTAATATAATAATATTACATTACGGCACTGAAATTGATTTATGAAACAAGCCATGTAATTGTTTATTTAAAAAAAACGATTCACTAAGGAAATTATTTCAAAAAAATAAAAACGCTGTATTCTGATTGACGCTGTTGACTTCGCGTTTTTCGCTGGTAGATATTATTTATGTCTATTAAAAGTCAGAGTTCAGACATGGTAATTTTCCGAGAGATAAAACGGATATCTGATATTCTACACAAATAGGCTATTAAATAAATTATTTTTTATAGAGTTCCATAAACTCATTTACAGGATATAAAAATAATTTAAATAATAATATCAAATAATAACAAACATGCTGCAAGCAAACTTTATGTAAGTTTGCTTGCAGCATGTTTGTTGTAAAGCATTCGAAATGCCAGGAACAAAAAAATCTAATCTAAGAGTATTATTAACCTCATCTAATAGACTATAAGCATTTATAAATCAAGAGTTATCTAATTTTAGTCGAATAAATTTCACAATAGACTACTTATTAATTGAAATATAATAAATCCTTTAGATACGTGTCATGCCTCTGTAAGTCATATTACATGGCAAAATCCCCGGACCATTGGGCGGACATTGCTTGGAGCCTTGCGCTGCCGTATGACGAGACCCTGGACTATCACCCTCAGTTCCAGGACTATAAGCGCGGGGAACACATTAAACAAGCGGACGCTGTTCTTCTTGGCTTCCCTTTACAATATCCTATGAACATGTAAGTAATATCGACCCTATAATAGGTTTTAAGGCAGTGGTAGCCCAGTGGTGACGCGCTCGCTTGGGAAACCGAGTAAAGCGAGTTCAAATCCCAGATCTCGCACCTTTGATATTTTCATGTGCGAATCATTACCACTTGTCTTAACGGTGAAGGAAAACATCGTGACCAAACCTGCATGTCTGAGAGAACCTAGTAAGTTTTCAAAAAGACATGTGAAGTCCGCCAACCCGCACTTGGCCAGCGTGGTGGACTATGGCCTGATCTCCGTCGTATTGAAGGGAGGCTCGTGCCCTGCAGTGGGACGTTAAAAAGGGCTGAATACTGATCAAATAGGTCATTTTGATTACCTGTGGTACTGCAATCTGAAACCGATAAGCATGTACAAGGACATAAAACTTTTAACATCACTTTCTTTTATGCAATAACTGTTAGATGAGACAACTACCCCAAACTTCAGCACTACTACTACTTCCAAATTTCAGCACTGTATAGCTCTTTAATCTTTGAGTAAAACGACTGTGACATATGGACAGATGGACAGAATATAAATGTATCTATTAAAATCAGACTCCTTTAGCGTGGGCCGCCTCAATTATACAACAAACGCAATGGTTCAAGGGTTAATTGTCAGAAATGTGAATATTCTGATTCAAACCACTTCGAGTTGACTTCATCGAATAAAATTAGGTCAATACAAACTTAACTTTTATTGCTAATAAAATTCTCTTTTAATTATACCTACTTATTATAATAAAATTTATGGTTACATTATTTATTAGAAATACTTATCTTTATATATATAATTCTTCTGTGAGTGTGTATGTCACTGAACTTCTCTCAAACGACTGGACCGATTTTGATGAAATTTTTTGTGTGTGTTCAAGGGGATCTGAGAATGGTTTAGATTCACAATTTGAATAATAATTTTCATCAAAATGGTCCAGAATGTTTTAGCTTATTAAAAAAAGTTTGAAATTTTCAAATTAAAGACGTGTAGACAGGACAACGTCTGTCGGGTCCGCTAGTGATTTTCTAAACTGATTTATGAACTAATATATTTTATATACAAACGGCTAACTAAGGGTGAAGACAAAGATTGAAGATAATTCATCAACTATACCTATAAGAAATATATTTTTTGACATTGGCTCTGTTCGTGTGATTGGTAGGTATATCGATGTAAATTATGCTATCATATCTATTAATCCAGGATGTAAGCTATCTCCATTCCGTATTTCACTCACATCCATCCGAGTCGTAACATGAAGATAAACAAACCCCCACGCAAATCAAATCAAAATATACTTTATTCAAATAGACTTTTACAAGACGTTTGAATCGTTAATTTTTACATTATCAAAAATTAAGCTAAATGTCAGTATGTAAGTCCGTGAGGAATCTACCACCAGTTCGGAAGACAGTTCTGCTTAGAAGAGCCTTGCCGGTAATATATATATATATATATATATATAGTATATATATATATATATATATATATATATATATATATATATATATATATATAATTATTATAATTTTAATTAATTTCTTAGAAATTTACCTGGAGGTGTCAACATTAGTTTGATTGTTTTAGTTCAACAAGAGCGAACGACCTTTCCTACTATGAATTAGTCACCCGAAGTTCGGGGCCCGCTATGACATGGAGCATGCATGCTATTGGACACTTGCAATTAGAAGATGATGCTAAAGCCGGGGAGCTCTTTAATAGGAGCTATGAGGGATATGTTAGAGAGCCTTTTAAAGTAAGTTCTAAATGTAATTTCAAACTTAATTACTAACTTATTATCAATTTTGTACGTGAAGAGAAAGCTTTTTAGGCATATTGTGCGTATGGGAAAAGTGTGACCTTTGGCATGGTAAAAATTTATTGGAAGGACGTCTGTATTAAATTAATATTAACAGTAAAAGTCGTTGAGCTTTTACTCCAAATACAGTTCACTTTAGAAGACCTGATGAGAACAAAAGAAATTTTTCTTCAATGATCGATTATTAAAGTACCTAAGTAAATCTTTTACTTATAATAATTTCTAGATATGGAGTGAACTCCGACGGCCAAGTGTGGGAGCAGTGAACTTCCTCACAGGTATGGGGGGTTTCCTCCAGACCCTCATGTTTGGGTACGCGGGGATCAGAATACACCTCGACAGGCTGGAAATAGCTCGTCCAATACTGCCTCCTCAAACCACTAGACTTAGGATCAAAGGTATGTTTTGTAGTATGTATATCTTGTAATATTAAACTAGCAATTCTCGTATACTTGTATTCTCGTATACGAGTATTTATATAAATTTATTTAGTGTATCTCAGAAAGGAAGATCATATTTTGTATTTAGATAAGGTTTTGTGCTTTAAGTTTACCCATATAATATCTAGTAAGTGTCTTTTCTGAACAAAAAAAAACATTTTTTTTTACCTTATCCGAAAAAATCCAAGTGAGGCTTGGTCGCTCAGACACTTGTATTTTAAAAGTGAGAAAATAATAAGTTATATATATGTATAGTGGTATTTAATTTCAATAATTTTAAAAAACAACTAGTTTATTACTATCGCAAAGCTGGTTATTTTAGCCGAAATAAGATAAAGCGTTTTTTTTTTCACAATCTTGTAAAATATCAAATCATTGAATCACATGTGATTTTGGATACTGTTAACAAATTACATTTATTTATTAAAATAATAGAAAAAAATATTTTTTTTTTTCTCCTAATCCATTTATAAAATACTTTTATTCTAGGAATAAAGTATCTAGGTTCGAATCTGACGCTTGACATTGGCTCGGCGGAGACGACTCTCACCGTCTCTTCGATTGACGATAGCTTGCCGCTCATTCTCTTCAATGGGAAATACAATGTCACTTTAGTTCCTGGGATGACAGGTAGTGTATACTTATTTCTTACTAATCTGTATAAATAAAAATAAATATTTCTTAGTATGTGTTCCTACGCCTCCGTTTAGAATTATGGTAAGTTCTACTCTAGTTCGAAAGTTCCTGGCCCAAAAAAAGATTTTTCCTTTTTACTCCAATGTCCGATTTCGTCCCGGTCGTGTCGGAGTCGTCCCACTAGTTGTTAAGAGTCGCAACGTTGTTCAGCAGGACATCATAATATAGGTATTAATTATTATATTAGGTACTTCTATTAAAATGGTAACCAAAAAATTAAAGATATTATAGGGTAATACAGTTTTTAAGGATTAAGAAAAATATCTCTCCATTTAAAAACAGTTATTTAAAGCAAAATCTGGCATTATCAGAAATGTTTACTACAATAGTATTAAGTCAATAATAATCTTTAATTCTAGAAATATCAAGTAAGGTAATAAAACCAGAAAGTGTTATTACTTATGTGTTTAGTCATTTCCAATTGATAATTTACTACATCACCTCACGCTTGACACACATTACAACCTTTGATAACGATAAAGCCAAATAAAATAACAAATTACAAAATATTATAAATATTTTTTAAGTAATTCATCATCATACATCAATTTCATACAAGTTAAACATAAAGAAGGCCGATATCAGTCAAAATTTTGACACTTTTAATAAATTATAGACTTTATTTTTCAGTCAATAGATAAATAATGTCCATCAGTTAAATAGTTTCGTAACTTATAATTAAAGTGGAAGTAAAAAATTGTAATAATTTAATGATGAATAGTATTTAGTTTGAATTTTAGATAAACTCAAATTGAAATTTTTAGGACAGAGGGATTCAAACATTTTTTTATGAAAGATGGTATTAGTCTGTAAACCCAACAACCTTAAACAGCCTAACGTATATAAACACGTAAGTAGTTTATTTTAGGGTTGCGTAACTAAATCGCTAAAACGCTACCATTACTATTTCGTCATGTCCATCTTTCCGTCTGTCACGACCACTTTACTCCTAACCTTTTTTATAATTTTCTTATCTCCGAATAGGTATCTCGGAAACGTGACAGCTAAGGTCACCATATGGTTGTTTTAAAAAAAATAACAAGTGATAAATTAAAAATTCAAAAACCCCGACCATCTTGGACTTGGACCGATTTTCATCAAACATAGCTAAGAACCCTCCCGACTAATTCACCTATCAAACAAAAAAACAAAATCAAAATCGTTCGGGAGCTACGATGCCACAGACAGACACACACACACACACATCGTCATTTTTGCGTCGGGAGTTAAAAATGGTGGCGGTTGCCCCCAAAGATTTTGCTTTAAAAAAATTCTACAAGTATGAACTGTAGCAATTTTTTACATGTATTTTTATTACCTAATAAATACAACACAAAAAAATAAATATATAATCTATAACATTTTGTTCACAGTATCTCTAAATGGCAAAGGACCCTTCGTGATACGAACGTCTTCATGGAAACAATGCAAGTTGCCGGCCGATACAATCGGACAGAGCTATTTACGACCAATCGAAGATTAAAATATACATAGTATAATTTATTAATAAAATTAGTGTGCCATAACATATAAATTATATTAATTATTAAATTTATATAAAATAAAAAAAATAATATTCTGCTTATAAAAACAGAAAAATTTAATATATTATCATCTTATAGTTCATCAGATTTTTATTATATACAACTCATTATATATGTAGATCATTTAAAGAGGTACTATTTATTTTAAGTATCTGTACTGAAACTTGCAACATTAAATTATTACTTAAATATTTTTATTTTATTACTCAACCCAGTGACCCCCTATTACATGCCACAGTTGTATTGTACGTATGAATTCAGCCCTTTTTTTTAACGTCCCACTGTTGGACACGGGCCTCCCTTCAATACGAGGGGGGCCAGGCCATAGTCCACCACGCTAGTCAAGTTCGGGTTGGCGGAATGCACATGTCTTTCGAAAACTTGCTAGGTTCTCTCAGATATGCAGGTTTGGTCACGATGTTTTCCTTCACCGAAAGACAAGTGGTAAATGGTAATCATGGTGGAAATGATTCGTGCATAAAAATATGAGAGGTGCGCGACCCGGGATTTGAACCCGTTTCACTCGGTTTCCCAAGCGAGCGCGGTACCACTGACACGGTAATGTTTATGTATAACATTACCGTGCCACTGGGCTACCACTGCCTACTATTATACACCCAAAATTAATTATTTCCGCAATGATGATTAATTAATAATAAAATTGATTTTAAAACACCGTAAACCCCCCATCTAATATAGTATCATCATTATTATATCATCGACTCGTCATCTGGCCAATCGCCATAAGCAGGTCAAAAATAATAGGTACACGACAGAAAAGGAGAGCTTAAACCGGTTTTTGCTTAGTCACATTATACATATGTATTATAAATTATAACACAAATTCATCGAAAATGAAGTTAAGTGAGTGGTGGCACGGTTGCATTACATTACAGTGGTGGTGGCGACGAAGTTTAAGAAAAACTTTATTTTCAAAACTTAGGTCTAACGAGTAGGTACAACTGGTAGCTTACAACTAACTCTCTTTAAAAATAATAAGTTTATATCAAAGGATGTTAAATATATAATAAAATGATTTATTTTTATTTAATTACATTTAAATTAATTACCTTAGATTTTTTATTTCGATTCTAGCTAAAGCTATTTGATTCTGGTAAACGTCGATATGTTCTGTCATAGTAGGTAATATATATTCCGTTTCCGAAATACTCAGCGTTTTCTGTGTAGGTATTTATAATATTTTAAGAATAAAATTGCAAAAACATGTAATGAAACTGAAATTATAATGGCCGATTTCACCAACATCATCTAAGTTTAAGGGATCCCCTAAGAATGGTTAGGGGGTTGTTAGGGGACAGTTTCTGTTTCACCAACAGTTAGGGGTCACCTAAATGGTAAAATGCCACCAAACTACTACTAGGTACTAGAAATACGGACTCTGACGGTGGTAAAACGAAATTTAATTTAGGGGCTAGTTTAGGGGAACTTTTAAGCTAGGGATCCTATACGTAGGTGGTAGCTTATGGGATGTTGGTGAAATCGGACATAAAGCTTTCAATATTTAATATTCAATGTTTACCATAAATCGTAAACAAAAAGAATAAAAGAGACAAGTATATAATATTCAAAGACTGGCATAAATACAGCTAGTAGGGTGACATAATATCTTAATATTTATTATCTTCTAGCAGAAGCCGCGGCTTCGCTCGCGCTAAAACTACAAAAAAATCTCTAAAAAGGTAGTTTGAAGAGCATTAATGCCAAGTTTTAAGTAATTCTGATCATAAATATTTTTTTGGATTGTATTATAACGTATTTTCCTGTGGGAACGAGATGATCTCCCGCGATAAAAAGTAGCCTATGTCACTCTCCAAGTCTTCAATCATCGCCAAACAAAAAAAAAGTCAATCCGTCACTCCGTTTCGACGTGAAAGAAGGTCAAATACACAAACAAACAAACAAACAAACAAACAAACAAACAAACAAACACACTTTCACATTTATAATATTAGTATGGATTATTCCAACTCAAAAAACTCTAAATAAATGGCTGTTGAAACTATTACACCTTACAATTACACTGCATAAACAAGTCTCATATCACATCATGGTCTCCCAATCCATAGTCCTTATAATAAAAATATATAATAAGCATAATACAATATGCTATCTTGCTTCAATGTACGTCGTACTATTGTCATCTCGTTTTAATTCCCTGAATCGCGCTAGTGACATTTTCTAAAGCGCTACCAATATATACATTAAATTTAACCCTCCTGTCGGGATCAGCCGCCTTGAGGGAAGCCAGTTGCCAAGCTGGTCTAAGTTGCGCACCCGTTCAGATGAAACATACGATGCAAGTCTATGTTTAATCACTGAGTATTAAGCACGATATATTTCTCATCTCTGTAAGCGATTGAGCTTGTAACAACCTCAAGGAGAGGCACCAAAGCCACAACTTGGCCGCCGCGATCCCTTTTTGCTCATTCATCTATCTATATATATATATATATATATATCTTATATATTTAAACGAGCTATTCTTGTATATATATATATATATCAATATATAATCTGAATCTCGGAAACGGCTCCAACGATTTTCATGAAATTTAGCACACAAGGGGTTTCGGGAGCGATAAATCGATCTAGATTAGTCTTATATCTGGAAAAACGCGAATTTTCGAATTTTCATGCGATTTTCTTTTGCATTTTCACAATTTTTGCATTGTCACTTCTGGTGAGTGGGCGGCGCCACTGTGCAACTGTCAACATCGTGTCCGTATTTACATCAAGTTTAAATATATTTAAGTGAAAATAATCTAAAGAAAAATTAAATCTAATCTAAGTAAATTTTTAAATAAAGCCTATGGGCAATATGTAAACATCACCAAGTCTTGATGTGTTGAAGAACAAATGAGCTTTTAAAAATTCACCTACCAAACAAATACAAAAGTGACAAACATAACTTAAAGATACTATCAGTGCAAAACCATCTTTTCTATGTGTGATGACAATAAAACAAAATAATTTGTGAAGTGAAAGCGTCAAATATTAAAACATAAGTTTATAACCTCAAAAACTAATAGGTACTCGGTATAAAATTGCAATTCAACTAGGTATAATTGGTGCTCTTTTTCAATCAGCTTTTCTACTTCCAACTTCACACTTAAGATGGAGGACATAAAAAAGTTGCTAATAAACATGCAACAAGAAATAAAGACAGCAGAAAACAGAAATGTTAGAAATGAAAGAAGACATTAAAAATACAATCAACAATAATATACTTAAATGAGAAATTTAAACAGTTAGAAATAAAAATTGAAGTTCTTGAGAAAAAAATCCAGGAACAAAGTACCTCAATAAATAATTTAGAAAGACATATTAGGCGCAAGAACTTGGTTATGTTCAGAGTAGAAGAAGGTGAAAAATCCTATCATGTACTAGAGGAAAAAATAGTCTTAAACTAAACGGAAATAAAAAAGAACTCTGCCTGTATCTCCAGAAACGCCTTACCTCAATTATAAACAAAAACTAACAAATAAACAACATACAAAGAAAACCATACCTGGTAATATTAAAGACTTTATATTACAAAAACCAAAATTAACTTTCAACCACACAAATGATAACCAGGAACAACTAAAAACAACACAGCAAGATACAGTATATTAAACACCGTAGGAACCTCCTCATCTTTATCCACCAGTACGGCCGGTCACTGTGGGGGAGTTCGACCGTAACCCTCCAAAGAAAAACAGACATACAATGAACAAAGGTATACATATCTTCACCAAAAAAACTTCTAGAATTAAAAGCAGCATTTCCTACAACAAATCAAAGAACACAAACATAAAATTAAAAACTTTATAGGCATATCAGAAACAAATTATATATTGAAAACAAAATTTGAAAAGAAACCCTTTGCAATCATACAAGCATAATCTCCAACGGAGAGCTCTATGCAGGACTACTTTGGAGGAGGCTTTTAACCGAGAGGGGTCTATACATGAAAAAGACATTTACTAAATAAATACATTTAATTATGAAATTAAATACCTAATTTATAACTATTGTCGAATTAATGTATGGAAAGAAATTTTATTTATATTTATTATTGTGAAATGTTTAGTATTTACTCAATTGAATTATTTAATTTATTGTGATTGTTTATTTATTTATTTGTTAATGATAATTTATATATATACAATATCATTTCAAATAATATGAAGATTTTTAAAATAATTTAATTCCAGATTACAAAATTATTAGTAAAAAAATTATAAGTTAATAAATAGTCACTAAATTATATAATTTTATATTTCAGCAATGTGATATAGACATTTTTTTTATTGTACAACTAAAATGGCTCCTTATATACTCTTAACCAAATAAAATTTTAATGGAATACTTTTATAAAAAGCTGTGCATACTTTTAAATTAAATTTATATACAAATAGGTAAAATTATAATGTTAAATAAATGTTTTTATGTAAATTTAGTTAGTAAGCCTTTATAATAAATAAATGAATAAATAAATAGAGCTTTATTATTATTATGATTTCTTTTGCATTATTTCAATAAATTAATAATTAATAAATCCACGCAAAATATTATGTTCGATAATTTCGCACGCTCAGATATAAGCATCATGGTCAAGCGGCCAATGCGCAAGTTTGACACCCACAGGTATCTGAGTTCGAATCCCGGTCGGACATAAAGTTTTTAATTTTGTTTTTTTTTGTATTTATTCAAATTCTTAGTTTGTTTTTTTAATGTTTTTTTTTGACCAAAAACTCCGAGCAAAGCTCGGTCGCCCAGGTACTATATATATATATATATATATATATATATATATATATATATATATATATATATATATATATATATATATATATATATATATTTAACGGATAGTATAGATTTCTTTACTTTAAAAAAAAGGGCAAATTTTTATTCCAATCATGTAAATGTA